TTTTTCACATACGATTTTAACTTCTCAATGACAAAAAAAAATTAATTTTGCTCCAACCACTGCAAGCTCTGATAGTTAAGAACATACAAGCTAACAATCATTGGAAACAAATTAGTTTTAGAATGTTGAGAGCTTGAACCTTACAAGCATTTTCAGGAACATTATCATGTTTAGCCGCCATCTTGAATTGACCGGGTAAAACCCTCTTAAGAGATTTTTATTTTAACCTTCCTACGCAATTGGTTGAATAAATTCTCAAAAAACGAATGCCTTTTGTCATGTTAAAGTTTTTGTCAGATATGGTTGAATAAAAACATCATATAACTGTCATCCATCAAATATAACTAGTTACCAGACATATAAATGAGTAAAAGAAATACTTTTATGGAGCATCTAATGAATCTATATTTTAAAATTTATGACAGGTTATAAGTTTTGAGAATATCAAAAAGGATAGTATATATCAAAAGACTTATTCCCGAATTTTTACCTAATTTTGTATAGAGATTAGGCACAGGACACCCTAGTTCAAAAACCTCAGTTAATTGCTCCTGAGAAATATATCACCAGTCTAATTGAAACTCTTTAAACAGCAATTGGACACACAATTCAATAAGTTTAATACTGTAAAACGTACAATTAAGTATACTTTGGTAGCATAACTAATTCAAATGTTCCTTAAATCAAAGTAGCCAAACGAGGCGATGTATCAGACGTTGACGAGTCTTTGGAGATTTTGAACATCGTTAAAATCGCGGATCGATCTCATTTCTCATCGTTAGGAGATATTCATAGCTCGTTACATGCATCTGTCTCTCGACGTTGCACACTTCTCTCAAGAGATGACAAACTTTGAGGATTTAGAGCTTCAAGTGTGATTTCTTCATCGCTATTCTGAGTAAAGTGTGTTCTGGGTGTGTCCATGTCTTTCTCAATTTGTATAAGTACATAATTATAAAGCTAATAAATAGGAATAATACGTACTAATTTTAACATTGCTGAGGGGTAAAGCTTACTAACACGAGTATGTTTAGCCGTGTTTTACATAAGATTGCAATGTTTTATGAACAACTTAATATTTCCTTATTGTTAATACCATGATTAATTTGGTTAACATTGTGTGTCAGTCTTCGTCTTATTTCTTAATTATTTCATCTGTCTGTATTGTTTATTTGACGTAACTTCAACAGTAAAGCGTAGATTTTTAAAATAGCAATTTGAAAAAAAGTTTTAAAAAGCATTTACGTAAATAGGTTTTATGTAAAATTGTGTTTATTCAATGAAAATAATTAAAGGATAGCTGCAAACGCCAAAACAAAAATTGCAGTTTGTCCAACTTTTGTTAAAATATTATTTTTATCGTTAAAACATTTGTAATTTAGACTATTGTCTATATTTATCAATTGAATTTCATTCGTAGTTAGATGAACTAGTTTGTAGCTACTGTTTTTATACAGTTGAATTATTATTTATCGTGAATTATGTTATTAAATAAACTTATGACTTTACAAACAAGAAAGCTATTCCTAAATACACGACACCTTCAGCATTAGTAACTTTTAGATCTAGAAACGTCAAAACAATACAACTTTATTCAATATTTTTCAACGACTGTCTTGACGGCTGCTAGTGACAGTTTGAAGTCTTTATCATTCAAGCAGACATTTCTCATTGTTCCGATCAGACGACGATGTCAGTCGTGATAAATTAAATTGTGAATCGCAACTGATGTCAATATGGAAATGACAGACGTTTCTTTCCATGTGATATTTTAATCATCGTATTTAATTTATGTATTATATACAGTAAAAATTAAATTATGTTAGAAAACTTTACAGGTTTGATTTTTTATAAATAAGACTATTATTAATTGTTGTTGTCAGTATTAGTTAGAGAATAATTGTCCTAATGTAATTAAAATCATTGTCATACTGTAAAGAACTGCTGTAAAACTGTGAGATTAGTTTCTTTTATGGGTTAAAGCAATCTACACTTTTAATCTTTTTTTTTGTGATTTTCCCAGTTTTGAATATGGAACGAAATTGTCATTCAAATTTGAATGGTGCAGGATAATAAGTCAAAATAAATACTTAAGTATATTGTTAATAATTATCGTCGGTATCCACATAAAAAGTGTCTCAGTTTTGTAATGTACTAATACAGTCAGCGCGGGACTTCTGATTTAGAGTCTAGGTTCGATATCCGCCTATCTCCAATGACTTTAACCCTAAGATAACGCTGTTAACAGGAGGCTTAAATCAAAGGTTTAATTTAATCCACTTTAAGGCGTATGTCCACGCATATAGGAACTCAAAACTTATAAATCTTCCACGTTAGAGAACTTTCTCTGAATCACTGTCCATACAATAGAACCCATACTTTTTTTAAGTGAATCATCACGTAATTTGATGACTTACAAAAACAAAGAGCACATTAGTACAATTAATATTAAAATCAGTGGAAGAACAGCTCACTTCTTGTTCCAAATATATTTGAAACAGTTGTTTGGTTTTGTCTTGTACATTCCAGCTTAGAAAAATCACCTTGATGAAATCTTCCTTCCGACACCGTACAACCTCTAATGAAGTCATCCCAACTGTAGTATATTAATGAGGATGGGTTCTCGAGACTAAGATGTATTGTAGCTTCCAGAGTATAATTAAGGACATTTATTACCTCCCGAATCAGCTGTTTAGATTACTCTACCTAACCGACTAACTTTGGAACACTTGTATGATAGGAAAAGTAGGTATTATTTTAGTGGAATTATGAAACAATTAATTGTTTTGGAAATCATTGTTAAAAAATTATTTAATTTATTTGTAACCTTCTATAAACTAGCTGTTACCCACGGGCTTCGCCCCGTTTGACATCATAAGTATTAATAAAACTATTGATTGGTTAAGTTAACCTGAAATAAACAAAATACAGTAAAAGAAACAAATAATCACACCTGATTTTAATAAGGTAATAAATTGAAAGAATAACAAACAAATAAGTACAGCTGAGGTATTTTTAACATTAGGTATATTAAAGGTTCCCTTTAGAAAGGAATTACGACCTTAAAGGGCAATTTATGACATAATGGATAATTTTGCGCAAGGTTTCTAGTCATGACGAACATTTTAAGTATATGGTTTATGGGGGTGTGACTTGTAGTTTTCTCAAAAGTTCATGGGTACTTTTGGCTTTATATATAGATTGTACTCCACAAAATACTTTAGTACAGTACCTTATCCTAGTTAGCGAAATAAATTGAGATATATAACCGTAAAATATTCCCTAACAAATTTGTTATCATAATGAATAGTATTTGAAAAGTATCAAGGCGTGTTTTTGTTTAGCACTTTCAAATAACATTTCGGTGATTCCTGCATATTTATTTCTTGTTATTTTACCACCCTTTAAACTTTTTGAGCTAAAGATATAAATCTTTCTTGTACAGGATTTGTTGTTCCCTTTTATTATAACTAAAGGGTAACTAAATAATCTCACGTTACATCTCGTCTTACATAAGCAGAAAACCGTTTTGTTACCGTCTATACACCAGTAGCATTTCTTTATTGTAACCCAAGCCCTTAGCCCTTTTAAAGTAAAGTTCCCCTCCTCAAATTTATGTGGATATGCTTTGAATTAGTGCTATAGAACGCGCTTCTTCCGTACCTAAGTCCGTAACTATAACATAAGCGATACACTCACTAACGCCAGAACCCACCAAGTATTACCAGAAAACAACCACACATGCAGAAATTCTTCAGACATTTACAATGGGATGAGAAGTTGATTTGCAGCATCCAAGTCAATAGTCGTGACGCCACCCAGAAATAGACGTGTTTTACAGTGGCGGTTAGAGACCCGCATTTATTTATTACATCGTTAGTAGATATCCGAGGATGTAAGCGACGCGTCTATAAATACTTGACTGATTTTATCTGAACCTTGGTGATCACGGCGCTATGGCGTAGACCACTGTCCTTAGCAGATGTCCGATGAACTCTCTGCGTTTTGCTGTTTCACACTTTGTATTAGTTTATACATTGCATACGGTTTAAAAGTATATAAACCGTGGCAAAAAATCTGCAGGTTAATGACTGCAGGTAGAAATATGTTTTTTTTTTTCAATTACTAGCACAGTGGTTCTTTGTAAATTTTGGTTTTACAAATTTTGCATAAATATTGCATTCTTAAAATAAAAATAAGACTATTGGAGTTGTTAAGTAATCTGAAATCAAACTGTTTAGGTGAAAAGGACAACTAAATTAGATCATTACTAACAGTCCAGTTGAGCTGCAGTAACACATCAACATTATATTAGTAAAAATGTACAGTGTACAGTGGCCTTCAGAACATAGTTATATTGAGTAAAGGGTAACAATGCAATAAAATATACGTAGAGAAAAATAATAATAGTATCTAGCTTTAATGTCGATAGATAGCCAGGGCTACAGATATACATCTAGCCCTGTATATCTCTAGCCCTGATAGTTAGCTATTACAAAAGATTCTTTTTCGCTTTGTAAATGTTTTGAGAAGTCCACTCAAATAATTAAGGTATAATTTATATCGGAGTTGGGCAGTCATGATTTTACGTGGTGTGTCATTCACATTTGGCAAATATACTAACAAAAACCCTCAGCTTGTAAATACATTTTGCTATCAAGATATTCACCTAAATTCTTTATGAACTATTTTATTACCTTTTTGGATTCCTGTTTTAGTTTTAAGTGTTTTTTAACACAAGAAAAGGTGTATGCATATGTTTTACATCTTTGTAGGTACGTTTTCGTATTAGTTCAATTTATATAGGTCTTTATAATTATGCTACCATATTACATGTCACGATTGTTATCCTTCACCGAGCAGACTATAATCAGTGTACTCGGCCTCGTGTGAGAGACGCCCCCTCACTACTCACTGAGGATATGACCGTTTACCACATCAATCCCCCGTTTCTCCCACATCAATAGCGCCGACTAATCTCAAATTGTTGTCTGTTTAAGGGCCCGATCGGACTGGACGGCCCCAAAGGAGACCCGGTGAGTATTTGAAAAAGTATGAATGCATGATGTAAATAAAATATATTATTTTTAGAGGGGGTTATGGGATAAATTATGTACGATATAAACAAATATGAAAAACATGTATATACGTGTATACTTCGGTTATTAGTACAAGAGTATAATTATTCTCGTAATTCGGTTTTGTATATCGAATGTCCAAAAACTCTGACCCCAGACACACCTTCTTTTTATACTTTCCCTGCATACATCCACATGTACAGAGGCATACATATAATGCCTTGTTTGTGAGGCTCTGACACAAGTTTTACGTACATGGAGTAATATATTCACTAAATGTCATACTCATCCATGTTTTACGATGACAATGATTTATCAACAGAATACTAACGAATAGTGGCAAATATTAAAAATCCACTGAACATCCTAAATATGTAGGGATAATATGGTAATATGTTAAGACTCGTAAACGAAGAAAATATGTTGAACATTTGATCATTTATACTTCCCCTGTCTGTTGCACTGGAATCTCGTAACAAAAAACTAACTGAAATCATCCAAAATTAGTTTGTGTATGTAAAATGTGTTAGAGTATGGTAAGTGCTGACATTTGAAACTTAGAGTATGTAGGAATATCAACATATGTGTGTATTCTCTATGTCTTCGATGGACGGTGGACAAATTTCCAATACTACTCAACTTTGAATTCAACTCTGATTCAGTTATTGTCGTCCATATCAGGGCCGGATCTACAAAATATGGGCCCCCCTGCAAAAGTCCTCCAAGGGCCCCTACAGCTGTGTACGGGACTCCGGGGGGTTTGGGGGGTGTGGAGCACCCCCCAAGAGAAGAGGGGGGTCCGGGGGTCCTCCCCCGGAAAATTTTCACATTTTTATAGCCGTTTGGTGACTTTCTAAAGCATTTTTTAACGTCTAAAACTGTGTCCAATAATAGTCCAAAAACTCCCATTTCACCCGTTGTTTGTCACGAGCAAGTAGACATAAGTAGAGTAGAGTAAAGTATATTTTTTAAATAGTTTTTACCAATTTATTTAATAGATCAGATTTATTATCCTAATATAACTAGGCCTATATTAAAATATGAATAGATATTGCAAAACATAACAACTAATCCTCTATTGTGGTTTCTATTTCATAATTTAACTTGCACTTTTTAAACCTAGTTTTAATTTTTAGTTTTAATCTAATTTATAGAAAATCCTTTTCTACCCTTGCATGATTTTTGAGATTGGGTTATAAACTAAATCAGGTTTTGGCGGGCCTAGCTAGCAGCTTTAACTCAACTCTCTGTTCAAAACTTACAACCTCACCACTGGCATACTTCGTAGAAATGTTTTTCACCGAATTCATTGTTCATTAATTCGCACTTAACTACATTTATAACGAAAAGAAACAGAACAGAGGTACAGGTACAACTGTGTATATTAATTAATTATTTAATTTAACAACTATAGAATACCGGCGGCACGGCACGATAAACATAACCCTACAAAACTACAGTAGTATTCAATATTTGAATGATCTCTAAATAATTGCGTTGACAGATCGAGATCGTAATAAGATTTATAGCTTTTCAAATTATAAAATGCATATTGTACAACAAAGTAAAAGGGTTTTTACATTAAGAATTTCAAGAATAAATAATAAGGTAAAGTAATAAAAAAACGTCTTGATTCAAACTTTGTTTCTTTTTTACAATATATTTTCAAGGTAGATAGGTCTACATACAAATCATGTTACATGATACAGTACTAAAATGTCTTCTTTCTGGTTTTCATTAAAGAAAATCTCTGTACAAGTTCTCTGTGATTAAGTTTGGAGGCTTCTTTCTCGTTAATTGAAATTACACCTAGGTCACTTAGTCTCTCTTGGCCCATGTTGTTCCTCAAATAGCTTTTTGTTCTTTTTAGAGTAGAGAACGACCTCTCTGCAGACGCCACAGTTACTGGTAATGTAAGAAAGATATTTATAGCTGTAAGCACTTCTGTAAAGCTTGAGGAAATAAACTCAAAGTCCACATACAACAGTTTAGCAAAATCAAACACCGATTTCACTTGGGCAATTTCATCCTTTAGGCTTCCTCGCAAGGAAATAAGCTCCAAAGAAAAAGATGGTCCGATGTCTTTAGCATATTTTTGTTGAAGAATGTTGCCTCTCTCTTTTATTTCATTTTCTGTTAGGGCTATCAGTGTCTTTGGAAATAACACAGAAAATAGGCGGACAACACCTTCAAGAGAAGAAAATCTCTTGCAAATCTGCCCATTAACTAAATCAAACAACTTGTAAAAAACATTAATTCTAAACATTTGGTCCTCATTAGAAAACCTGTGGTCTTCAGATAGCTCGTCATAATGTTTCTTTACCATAGTCTGTCTCTTTGGCATGAACACAGGATCTACATTCCATCTTATAGCAAGATCTACAGCTTCTTGTTTGACTGTATTGTATTCTTGTCTCATCTTTAACAGAGTATCTTTGCTTCTTTGAAGAAGGTCTGTAGCCTTTTCAAGGTCTTTTTCTTTACCTTGGAGAAGCTTTGATACAATATTAAGCTCTGTGAATACCTTTGAAAGCATAACTGTTAGCAAGATAAAGTCAAAGCTGTTAATACTTTTAAGTAATCGTTTTGCTTCTGACACTTCCTCTGCTTTTTTACTTTCGAGAGAAATTCTAACTAAAGTCTTAATTACGTCTGGGTATCTCATTTTTATTGCCAGAATCGATTCATGTCTTGATGCCCATCTCGTGGGGTTGAGTTTTTTCAGAGTTATTTCTGATTCATTTGTCAAAGAAGAGAGCAAGTCCCATCTGTTGATGCTGTGGCCAAAGTAAACATACAGTGCTTGAAGAGTTGTAAAATATGCGGATATTTCCTTGATGTTGTTAACCGTATCATTGATGACTAAATTGAGGTTGTGAGCTGCACAGTGTACATAAATAGCAAGTTCTTCAACACTTTGAATTCTCGCTTGAACCCCAGAGTATGCTCCACTCATAGTCGAGGCCCCATCATATCCTTGACCTCTACACTTGTTAAGGTTTAATCCAAACCCTTGCAATGTATTTAAGATTACTGTAGACAGCCCTGCCGCAGTTGAGTCTTGAATATGATAAAATCCCAAAAAGGATTCTTCAATCTTCATCTCTCTTTTTTTATTTGCATCTTCACTTAGAACATCATCACATCCACTTAATTGAACGTATCTGATGATAAAACTCAGTTGATCTTTTTTAGAAATATCCTGTGTTGTGTCAACGATAATTGAGAAACACTGAGCTTTGTTTACGTTTGTTATGATCTCCTCGAGAATGGCTGAAGACATGCACCGAATGATTTGGTTTTGAATATCATGGCTTAAGTAACGAGTTTGGCCTTGAGACGAATTTAAAGCTTGATTCAATATAGGATCGTATTTTGAAAGCAATTTAACTACAGACAAAAAATTGCCATCATAATTTCCCCCATGTTCTTTGGAACCTCTAAATGCTAAAGAGTTTTTTGCTAACATTAAAGTTACATCAAATAATCTCTCTAAAAGCTGAGCCCAGAAAGATTGTTCACGTTTGTTTTCTAACTCCATATGGTCGTCAATTTTTTTGCTTGCTTCCCATTGGTGTAAAACCAGACAGGCTGAAATATGTGAATGAGATGTGCTATGATATTTAATTTTCTTAGACAAGCCTTGCCAATCACTTATTCCGTTCAACCAATTTAATTTGCTGTCAGATCCAGCAAATAGCCAACATGGTAAACAATAAACACAATCTTGTATTAAGGAATAATTTAACCACTTTAAAGGAAGAGACTGGCATTGTGTGGATTTCTCTGTATTTGTCTTGTAGTATGCACAAGAGAAAGATCTATTTTTTTCGTTCTTTGGGAAAGGTCCTTTGGGTTGACAACTCCCTGTTTTCACAATGAAAGTCTTAATTTTTTCTGTTAAGACGACATTTTCAAAATGGCCTTTATCGGTAGGATGTTGTTTCTGAAGCAAAGCAACAATAATGTCATCTTCGGTATCTAACTCCCCAATGTTAACAGTACTGTCATCAGTGTCATCACGTGCTGCGTCGTCTGCGATTATGTCTGAATTTGGACTTTCTTCTAATAGTCCTCTTGATGGGCTTGGAGTGACGATCTCATTGACTTTTTCAGTTGTTTCCAAATCTAAAAGTATGAACGCTTTAAAATAACTTTGCATTGTTAGATAAATGTTATTCTTTGACCTTTTTGGAGTAATTTTTACCTATAATACAATAAGTAGGCCTACTTTTAGAAGAAGAGTGTTGTATTCAATTATTGTCACAACAATAAATTTTATACCATGTGAGCATCTATATTTTTAAAGAAAAAATGTGCATGTTTATGTTTGTGTTAGTTTTCAATTCACAGTACTGGACAGGGACAATAAAACAAGAGGCATCACAGTGACAGTAAGTGAATACAATTCAAACGATCGTAGTTTATTTAGTTTTTGTCACCGCAGAAAAAACTTTGCACCATTATGTTAAGGTAAAAATCTAGTTTCTAATGATATATAAATTAATATAGGTTCCTATGGTCACCTTAATATGCATAATTTCCAATATCGCCTCATGGGCTGTAACGTAAGTTATTGGTACCTACTACATATAATTTAGAGCTGCTTTCCTCAAATAAGTTAGGCCCAAACCTTGTTACAGTTTAAAACGAACTATTGGATTAAACTTATTTGAGCAAAGTGGCCCTGGCCCTACATCACTTATATAGACTAGTCAAGTTAGTGTGAAAGTGACTTGTATTGGGCAATGGGCAATGCATGCTAGAACAACGGAAGAACATAAAGTTTTGATTTTATAATGCAGTAGGTCTATGCAGCTAGTCAATATAACCAATATAATATAATAAAGCCTATATGTATAGGCTACCTTGACCAACATCCAGGTGAAGTGAGGTAGTTAGGTAGTTTAATATGGTACGGCACTCACCAACTTTGGAAGTTTGATTCAGTGTAATTT